AGGCCAATGCCCATCCCACCGGCGAGCGCTGTTACCTGGCCGAGCGCACGGGGAAGCCTCGGGCGCGCGGGCGCCCACAGCCCAGGGCCGGGATCGCGGCGACAGGAAGCTGCAGAGGGAGGGGGTTGACGAGGCTGTGACGGCGGCGGAGGAGGAGCCGGGGGTCTAGGGGCACCTGCTGGCTGGGAGGACAGAACGCAGAATGGATGCTGGGCCAAGGAAGGAAGCTGGAGAGAGGGTCCTACTTTGGGCAGGGAAGAGAAGGGTGCTCTGTTGCGCTTCTTTGTTGGTCTGTTTAAACCACCTTGGTACTGTGAATGTAGTGTCTGGCTGGCTCTTTAGTGGTAGAACGGTAAGAAGTGGTAAGGCCCTGAATTCAACCTCAAAAAATCTACTGCAGTAGAGTATCCTGATCCACTCCGCCCTCTGTGAGAGGGAACAGCCTCTTTACTAAGCATTTACTGAGCACCTACTAAGCACCCACCACCTACAATATCCTATGGGTGATGCAAGAGCCTGTCTTTGATCTCCTGCTTAAATCTGAGTGGCGAAACAAGCACACTGAGTGCTAGAAAAGTTCTTAGGCCTGGGAATTACGTTGCTCTCTTTGTAGCATTGCCCCTATCTGGGTGTAAATAGAAAGGAGCTAGAGAGATGGCTCAACAATTAAGAGCCTTTGCAGTTCTTACACCGGACTAGAGTTCAGTTCCCTGCAACCATGTCAGACAGCTCACAAATGCCTCAAACTCTAGCTCCAAGGATCCGACGCCCTCGTGCAGACCCACAAATACACATTTTTTAGACGTTAATTCTGCTTGGTGTGCATCAGGGCAAGTGAAGTCTATGCCTCCTTCCTCATCACAGAATGGGGAGTGTAATGCCTTTCTCATAGAAAAATTGAAAAGGTTACATAGAGCGATGGGTGGCACGTAGAAGTTCCTATAAACACCATCTATTGTCTTTAACTTTGGAGTATTTTCCCCCCCATACTGGGATTAAACCAGAGTCCCCAATCATGCTAGGCAAATGCTCTACCACTCAGCTGTGTTCTCGGGACTTTATTGTATTTTTGGACAAATTCTTGTTTCTCTCTGGGTCTGAGGATATTGAGTTTCAAGAAATATGAGCATACTGTAGTGTTATATGCCTGTAATCCCAGCATTTGGGAGACTGAGGCAGAAGGATTGTAAATTAACAGGCTAGCCTAAAGAGGTTTACAAAGTGGAGTCAGAACTAGATTGATAACAGGTAGTTTATTAAGGAATAGTACTCACACCAGTGACCAGGTTTGCACTGGAGCAGGAGTGACCCACAAGATGCCTCCTAGGCCGCTCAGCCAAGCAGGAGAAAAAGGGCCGGAAACTCTACAATTTAAACCCTTGTTACATCACTCTCTGACCACACCCAAGTGGGCGTGGTCAGCAGCACCTGTGGCCAGGCCCAAGCAGGCAGGGTCAGCAGTACCTCTAAACTGGATTTCTCCCTACACTACCCTATATACTTTGTCTCAGAATTAAAACACACACACACGGCAAGGGGAGGGGAATGTCAACTAGAATAATGGGCTAGGGAAGGGAAAGTCTGGCTTGTTGATCAATGTTGGGGTGCTAAGGAGCACCATGTCTAGGATTTGTAAATGCTATCATTTTGATTTTTATTGAGTTAACCCTTCAAAGGCAAAGATGACACTCTTTTCATCTGTTTTCCTAGAACCTAATATGGAACAGGTCTAACGAGTGTTGGTTGAATTAACGAAAGAGTAAGTCAGTTGGGATGGTTCACACCTGTAATCCCAGCATGGAGGAGGAGGAGGCAGGATGATCAGGAACTCAATGTCATTCTCATCTAAGTAGCAAATTCAGTGTGGGCTACAGGAAACCTCCCAAAAGGAAGAGAAACCTGAATTAATAGGAAACTACAGTAGAGGCAGCACAGATGACTTTCCAAAGCTTGTTGATCATCTGTACTGCTTGGAAAGTGATTTCAAAACACACATATACAGACTACATCTTGAATATTATGATTCAGTAGGCCCATTATGGGGCAGAACTGAGTGTGTTTTAGAATCTTCCTGGGGGACAAGGCCTTATGTAGAGGGATTGGGACACCAACCTAGCCACAAAACCTTTGACCTAGTTTGTCCTGCCTTCAGAGTGTTCTGGGACCAGAGCCTAGCAGAATTGTCATCAAAGAGATCAGAGAGACTTTATCCAGCAACTGATGGAAGCAGATAAAGAGTCCCACAGCCAAACATTAGACACAGCTCTGAGGTCCTGTGGAGGAGGGGGAGGATAGGAGGAACCAGAGGGATCAGGGACACCAAGAAAACATGGCCCACAGAATCGATTGACAGGGACTCATGGGGGCTCAAAGAGATCCGGGAGCCTGTAGGCTGTAG